CCTCCACTGGCTACGTTTTGGTGACATCTTCGGGAAAACCGAGGGTTTTGTCTGTGCAGTACAGGATCAGGTTATTAAGACCAACCACTATCGGCGATACATCTTAAAGGATGTCACCGTCGATATTTGTCGAGTTTGTCGCCATCCCGGTGAATCTGTGAAATACTGGGACCGGGCCCTCATCACAAACAGAACCATTCTTGCGAATAAGCCTGATATTGTGCTGATGGACCGGTCACAGTCAAGGTTATTTTTGGTCGACATAACCATTCCGTATGACGAGAACCTCGTGAAAGCCTGAACAGATAAGCGAACAAAATATCTGGACCTGGCTCACGAGGTGACTGACATGTAGGGTGTACTGCCAACCGAAATTATACCTGTAGTCGTTTCTGCAAAGGGTTAATCTTAGTTAGCCTCTCGGGTCATCTGAGGCGACTGCGACTTCGTGACGGACCGCTCCTAGTTCAAATGCAGAAGGCGGTGCTAGCTAGGAGCCTCTCCTCTGCATTGCAATCTTCTTGGCACTGAAAACAGTTTTGTAGCTCGAGCTGAAAGGTTTCGAGATTTTGAAATTATGATTAGAGCACGAAGGGGATGGAACGTTGACTTCATTGACGTGACCTCTCCAACTTATCGTTTCGGCTCGGCGTGCTTCTCACCATTCGGTGATCGCTGCCAGTTTTCACCCTCACGATCATTGAGATATCACTGAACAATTATTGTCTGGTAGTCATAATGAAGTCAATCTAATTTTTTGTCGAACCGTCGGGGCTCGTCCAGGTCCACTTCCTGTGGGGCCGCTTCTGGAAGAAAGCGTCATCATATAGAATCCCTCTTTCTCCATGAAGTCGGCCAGCTGCTGGCCCCTTGGGTTCCGATGCCCTATTCCAAATTTTCCTACCTTCAGCTTACCGTTCTCCGTTGTGCCTAGTTTTGCGTTGAAGTTTCCCATTAACGCCGTATAGTGGGTTTTTGAGGAATTCATAGCTCTAGATATATCCTCATACATTTTCTCCACCTTTTCATCGGGATGTGCCGAGGTTGGTTCGTAAGCCTGTATGACCGTCAGCGAATACCGTTTGGTAATTTTGAGTACAAGGTACGCAACCCTCGTCGACACACCCTCAATCTTTATAACGTTGTTAACGAGAGAATTGTGGACGATAAATCGGACACCGCCTTGGGATAGATGGTCGCCCTCCCGGTGATAGAACAAGTTGCTGGATTCGAGGATTACCGTGTCTTCCCCCTTTCTTCTGACCTAGGATAATCCTATAATATCATTATATAAGATCTTATATTATATAATTCCAGCGCAACTTTTCTATCTCTTCTTCCACCTCCGGGATCTCGTCAGTTTTCAGGGTACCTGCGTTATATGTTGCTGGATTGAGTCGTCGTAGGTGGCAACCGAACCTCCACCGGAGATTTTTAGCACGCCTTGCCCCGCCTTTATCTTGTTCGCCACCGTAGCCAGGAATAGCGGGGCCACCGGGGAATGAGGGGCCGTTTATTTGTGTCGTTACTCATGGAGGTATATTGCCATAGTAGCCTCGCTTGGCGAGCGGGTTGGCAACCGCAGTTTTTTGTTGCTTTTTGCTGTTATCAGACAGATACTGATGCCCATCTTCTGCCTTAGTTTCCCCCATTTACGACACCCACGGGAACATATGGGGAAGTGGGTATTGTTACCCGCCAATACACGAGAAATATGCGTAACTCAAACCAATATCCCTGTTTTTACGGAAAATGAGTTTCCACTATTAATTTTACATAAACGTCATCAATCAAATTTTATGCCAAAGTTTGTTTGTTTCAAAATTTCGCAAATAATATTTTTGTTAAAAATAATTCATAATTTATTTGAATACCAGCGAACCGTTCGGCTTCACCTGGATAGAATTTATTAATGTAGCGTCATTTATTAAATTAATTTGTTTAAATTAATAATAATATCAACTTTTCATTGAAAAAAAAATATGTTTAGTACAAATCCCTACTGGCATTGCTCTCTATCTGGTCAAAGGTTTCGTCATAATCAGTTCAGCCATGCACAGACCGACTCATCGACCATGTCCAAATGGCTGCAGACTCCGTGCTACAACAGGTCCCATCCGCAGAGATTGTGATGGTCGGTGATTTTAACGCCCACTACGCTGAATGGCTTGGTTCCCGTTTAACCGATCCTGCGGGTCGATCTGTTTATGACTTTGCCTGGAAATATGGTCTGATGCAACTAGTTACTTCACCTACGCGGATCGTAGATTTGGAGGATCATGTACCTTCCTGTTGGACCTTCTGCTGACCTCTCATCTGCACGGATATTAGGTCTCCATCGATGCCTCTCTTGTCTCTTCGGACCATTGTCTGATCCAGAGTACGGTGCCACTCACGATTCCATCGCAGTTGCGACTTACAGCTTGCCGCCGTTCCGAAGATTAACTCGGATAGACAGACTGACAGATAAACAGACAAAAAAAATTAAAAATGTTTTTTTATGTCTTAATAGCATGCAAATGATCCCCTGAGCCTAATATAAGCTTTTCAATTTTACTTATGTCTATAAATATAGGTTTAGGTTATATTTCTTTTGGTCTTTCTAATATATAACATGATTAATATTAGCTTCCAAAAAGTTGAATGAGATTGACAAAAGGATGATTAATTTGGTGTTTATAAGATAGCAAATAATATTATGTAAAATATATTTGCTCAGTATATTAAAATATCCAAAATTGTAAATAACATTATTTTTATTACAGAATTAGTGTTCGTAAATATTGGCAAATTATATCATGAGTAAACAGCATTCAAATACACATTCATAAAGATGATATTGCTTGCGAACAAAATTGGTTCCATAATAAGAACCCTTTTTAGAGATTTATGTTATTTGTTTATTTTCCAATAAAAATACGTGCCATAAGCTATAACTGAAATCGCACAATTTGGTTTCGCTTTGCTTTTGTCTTTTATTTTATATACAAATCCTTAGTATCAAAAGTTTTCCAATTGATTAATACTTATGATTTATTACCATATATTATCCTGTGTTTCATAAGGTACAAGGTACTGCGGAGAGGAAACTGAAACATAAGTTGGGCAGCAACATCTTCATGATAACAACTGGAAATAATTGAAAACTGCGGTTCCTAAGCCACCCGTCAAGCATGGAAACAATTATAATATGTTACTTATGATATTGCAATCTTTGGAGAAGGTCTAATAGCGTGAAAAGAAATATTGGAAATTGAACTATTTGACTTCAAGTTTTTAAGAAATAAATAAAAGTTTTTCCTCATTCATTTATTAAATTTGGTGCCTAATTAAAGCACTTTAGCCATGTTATGCCTTTTTTAGGTACGACCCTGTTAACTAATTCTGTAAGCCTAGTAATTATGCCAGTGGTTTTTGTGAGCGTGTTTGTTCCGCGATCGAGCTCATCCAATAGTGTTGAAGCTTGAGTGTAAGTTGAGTAGTGCAAAGGTAGCAGTAACTTGCTTTGTTTGAAGGTGATGCCAGGTATCTCTACAAGTACACTCATAGCTCATTTGGCCTATTGTGATTTCCTTACTGGTCTAGTGATCGTAAAAGCGACTGCTGGTGATGTATTCCCGGGTTCAAATTCCGGCTCTGGCCAAAATCTCTAATTGGGTTTTTCTCTCAAGAAATTCTTAGCAACAGCCTGGAGTCAGTTACACCCTTGGAAAGTGCATAAAGCCGTTAGTCCTGTGCCAGATCTCTCCGATCTTGTCAAAATGTCGTCTCATCGAACTATAAGAGTAAAGGAATAGACACTTGCAGACACACTTGAACTTTAATCTTGATACTGACCGACGTGACCGAAATTGAGCCTGAAGTCATTATTATTATTATTATCTATTAATAAAAAATTAATGATAAATACATGCAAGAATTAATAATAATACGTAGTATAATCCTACAAGATGGCACCGTTCCCTCTGTCGAGCTTGTCACCATCCCGATGAGTCATTTAGGCATATGACTTCTTCGGTAGTTCGGCGTTCTCTAACACAGAGTGTTTGCACAGACCAACTTAGAAGCCAGGATTCTACACCAAGAGTTCAATCTGAAGTACAATTTCGTGGATCGGAAACTTAGAAATCACCGCCTTCTAAGTTTCTCTTAGATTTGATATCTACCGACCGCATCGTTCGCCCGTTTTTTACCGTTTCCACATATCTCTCTGCTATTCGGCTTGGCGAAGGGTTCCGTCTGGTTGGGTTGAGTGTTTTTTTATGATATTACTTTATTAATGTTATTTATGTTTATAGTGTATTTATAAATATTTTATAAGAATACCTAATAAAAAAACTTTGGTAAGGTTGGCATCGTGAGACGAACTTTGTCTAATAAATGATTAATTAATAATTTAATGCGAATGTCGTTCGTTTCTGGATTTACCATTTTGAAAAAAATAATAGGTACAATGTGCTACGTGAATGACATCGACGTGAAAACCTTAATTTTCAAAGTTATGGTTAAGTTAAGTTAAGTATTACTAAGTATGATAAAAGGCCAGAGCTCCTAAGCTAAAATGGAGCGACGTCTCAGTGATGAGTTCGACCACGAAAAACTATTGGGCCCAATGGGACAGCTTGCTGATTCAGGATGGAGTCAGGTGTCGTAAATGGGAAAATGGTCGGGTAGACAGCTGTCATTTGCAAATGGTTGCCCCTAAAGCTAAAGTACCGGACATTCTGCAGCTGTACCATAATAGTTGTTCAGGAGGCCATCAGGGAGTTAAGCGAACTCTACTGAAGATCCGAGAATGGTTTTACTGGGTCCACTGTTGTGACGATGTCGAGGACTGGTGTCGCAAATGCACAAGTTGTGCGGCTGTAAAGGGACCTCAGACTCGTAGTAGAGGTGCATTGAAATTGTACAATGTTGGTGAACCATGGGAGAGGATAGCCCTTGACGTTGCGGGGTCACTTCCCGAAAGTTAAAGTGGTAACAAGTATTTTATGGTTGTGATGGATTACTTCACTAAGTGGCCAGAAGTCTCCGCCATTCCAAATCAAGAAAATTCAACAGTTGGAGATAAACTATTTCATGAAGTCTTCTGTCGTTTTGGAGTACCTTTAGAGATTCATGTCATATCGAAGCGCTGTTCACGAAAGTACATCAGTGACACCAGCTTTCGCAAACTTTGGAAGAAATTACGGCTGCCTGCACACCTGATCACCGGAATACCACCTGATGCCCCACGCATTATAACCAATTATACAAAGGACTTGCGGAACAAAATGAATGACATTTATGAGCACTTCAGACAATCGGACCAGCAAATATCTGAAAAGATGAAAACCCGGTATGACTGCAAAATGAACAACAAAAGGTTCGACGAAGGTTCACTAGTCTGGTTGCACAATCCAGTTCGCAGCAAATGGAAACCTCCTAAGCTTCAAGCTAAATGGGATGGACTGTAACAGATTATGACAAGGATCAATGACGTAACCTACCGGATACAAAAAGAAGTAAGAGGTACTTCTAAGATCATTCATGTAGATTTTAGATCGACTGGTGCGTTATTATGGACCCGATAATGCTTGCGATGAGCATTTCTTAGGAGAGGGCAGTGCTGATCGCCACCATTAATGCCTGGTACATGGCAGCAATTTTTTTTTTTGCTTTCTTTGTTGCCACTAGCGCTTTCTAGAAAACATTCAAGAAATTTCCACGGAAGAACTTTCTAGAACTATTGATACCTAGTCAGTCGGGCCCGGTATGTACTTGAACATTCTAGATGTTCCTAGAGTAGAAGGTTCTGAAACTATCGGAGTCCAAATATAAGGCTGGTATAGACCGCAACCGGAGTCAGTGTTGAGTTGGCGATACAAGCGAATACTTCGAAGCGATACAACTACGAACTAAACTGATCAGGAATACAATTGTGTTTTGTTATTAGTGTGGTTTTAAGATGTAATTAGAGTTCTGTAAGTAAAAAAAAAGTAAAGTTGGCTGTTTATGCGCCGGTAGCTTCGTCGTCCAGGGCTGAGCTGGAGGAGTTTTGGGAGAATGTAAGAGAAGTTCTAGATTTGGCTAGGGGAAACGAAAGAATTGTTGTATGTGGTGACTTGAATGGATGGGTTGGTACCGCTCGACCAGGGTACGAGTCGGTACTTGGAAAGTTTGGCGATAAAAGGGTTAATGATGCTGGCAAGCTTATACTGGCGGTATGCAAGGAAAAGGGTCCTCTTGTGACAAACACTATGTTTAATCACAAGAAAATCCATATGTATACTAGAGAACGAAAGAATGAGAGAAGTATGATCGATTTGTTCCTGGTGGATGACCGACTGCGAAAACAGGTGATGGATACGCGAGCGTGCAGGGGTGCTGACCTGGGAACGGATCACTATCTAGTGATTACTAGATTTAGGGGTCTGTTTGCGGGTTGGCGCTACCGGACGGCAGTAACAGAACCACAGTCGGTCTGTCGCATCCGAAGCTGGAAGCTTCAGGAAGCGGATACTGGGGACAAATATCATGCGAGGGTAGCCGAAAAGCTTGACACCATCGATGGCAGAAAAGAATGTGTAGAAACAACATGGCAGAACCTTAGTGATGGAATGGTAAGTGCAGCGGAAGAAATGTGTGGAACAATAAAAAGAGGCAGTAGTAAAAGAAGAGATGCATGGTGGAATGATGAAGTGAAAGAAGCTGTAAAGAAGAAGAAGAAAGCATGGCTAGACTACTTGGCCTCTAGTAATGATAAGGATATGAGAGAGAAGATGAAAGAAAGATATAGGCTGCAGAAAGTTCACACGAAAGCACTGATTGAGGAAGTGCGTGAAAGGTGTAGAATGGAAGCGGACGAAAGGTTGTCGCACAACTTTAAGGAGAACTCCAAACTCTTCTGGAAAGAAGTTGGAAGGACCCGAAGTGGTGCGACGGCCTTAAGAATGAACAAAGTGCTTTCGAGAACTAATGACGTCTAATGATAATGTATGCGTGTGATGATCTTAGTGAGGGATCCGGGGATGACGCCGTGACTAGTACGCCAGACCCGGACCTCGATGACACTGAGGTCATCAGTATGAAAGAGATTGAACGTGCTTCGAATCGCACTTGAAATGTGGTAAGGCTGCGTGACTAGACAGAGTTACTGCTGAAATGATCAAGTATGGTGGGCCTCGCGACAGGGACAGCTTTCATCTGCTGTGCAATTTGTGCTGGCGGACGGGGGATGTTCCAGATAATTGGCGATCCGCCGTCATTGTGCCTTTATATAAAAGTAAAGGTTCACATTTTGACTGCGGTTGCTATCGGGCAATCAGCTTGACCAGTTTAGCAAGTAAAGTTTACTCGAAAGTTTTGACACGTAGGATGCAAGAGAAATCGCAAAGATTTCTATGGGAGGCACAATGCGGAATAAGACCTGGAAGAGGATACACGGATCAAATGTTTTCTCTCCGCATGATCATGGAAAAGCTTTTGGCTGCTAACCAGAAGATTTTCTGCGCTTTTGTGAATCTTAAGAAAGCATTTGATAAGGTTGTAAGGAAGAAAATGTGGGAACTGTTGCCGGGGTATGGTGTGGATGGTCCATTGCTAAGGGCTATGCAGTCTCTTTACTGTGACTGTAAAGCCTGTGTGCGGGTAGGGCATGACCTGTCACCCATGTTTAACGTCCAAACGGGCGTAAAGCAGGGTTGTGTCATGTCTTCCTGGCTGTTCATACTGTATCTCGACAGCTGTTTACAGAAGCTGAAAGATAGCTGTTTGGGTGTGAAATTGGGTGACATAAAAGTAAATTGTCTGCTGTATGCTGATGATGCAGTGCTTATTGCACCATCAGAGGCAGAACTGCAGGCATTAGTCACGTGTATGAAAGAGGAATGTGAAATTAAAGGTCTCCGTTTGAATGTTAATAAAACTAAGGTTCTGGTATTTGAAAGGGACGAAGAGAGAACGAAGTGTGAAATATGGGTAAATCAGGAATGTCTAGAACAGGTAAATGAAATTGAATACTTGGGGAGTGCTTTTAGCCGGGATGGAAGATGTGATTTAGGTGTGGACAGGCGTGTCGCTGCCGGGAACAAAGTCAATGGTGCCCTGACTGCGTTAGTCAAAAGGCAAGGCGTAGCGAAGAGTGCACGCCTTGCAATACATAACGCAGTGTTGGTACCGACTTTGTTATATGGCAGCGAAACCTGGGTATGCCAGAAGAAGCATAAAAGTAAGTTGAATGCAGTGGAGATGCGATCTCTTCGTAAAATGTGCGGCGTTACCATGGCCGACCGAAAGCGAAACGAAGAGATTCGCAATATGGCAGGTTTGAAAGATGACCTTATCACAAAAATTGATAAGGGCGTGCTTCGGTGTTTTGGGCACGTTGAGCGAATGAGTGAAGACCGAATGGTGAAGAAAATATATAGCGCGAAAGTTAATATTAAAAGGTGTCGAGGTAGACCGAGACTAACTTTCGAAGACCATGTGAGCAAATTGCTCGAAGAGGGTAGGGTCAAGAGTACTCGGATACCTAGACGTGCATGCATGAAGAAGATAATGAATCTGAAAGAAGCGAAAGAGGTATGTAAGGATCGTGACACTTGGCGATCTGTTCTCTCTGGCTACCCCGTCAGAGATTGTGCGTGAAGATAAGTAAAGTAAAAGTAAGTAAAGTGCCAATTTTAGTAATTTACTCGGCAGTTTTTAATTATCTCAAACCCCAATCTCGTAACACTATATTTTCCTGAATTTGCTTCAAACAAACTTTCAATCGACATCTTGAACAACTACAATACTTTTTTCTATTTTCTAATTTAACTCGTGAATATAATCCCGGAGTTTCAGTCTGCATTTTATGGTAATAATAGAAAAACAGAGCTCGTCAGAACGTACACGTACATTTTGACTAGTAGATCACTGCAGCCGGTTATTTTTTTATAATAGATTGCTTGCTTTGGAGCACTCAAAACGACTTTTAGTTTACTTTAACTTAATTGGTATAATAACTCGTTTGGGGTTTTTTTAGGCACTCTGGATATTTTGTGTGATATATTATATAAAAGTAGAACCATGCTGCAGCCATATTATAGTTGTAGCACGAATGGGTCAACTTGATCGGGACAAGACAACGTTCTCACAGAATACCGACGTAAAATAGCAGCTTTATGCTATCGTGTTTCGTAGTATGAGTGTTCGGAGACCCGTTTTACTGGAAATGAGGATTTCCGTCTCAGTTCTCAGGGGTGACAACGCATCTGCATTTTGATTTTTAACGAAAATTAATATAGATGTGTATGAGCCACAGCATCCACTTACCATCAGATGGACTGTGTGCTCGTTTGTCACCCTTATTCTATTAAAAAAACGTAAATCCGTTGGTCCTATACCTCTCCTCTTCTCTCTCGGGTCGAGTTGAATTACTGTCCCATTGGACTATGAGAGTGAAGGAAGAAAGAGTGTAACCAGTGCTTGCGCATACACTTGGTCACTATAATCATGTCATATGCAGATGGCTAGTTTCATTTGAGACGAAATTCGGTCTGGAGAATGTTAATATTATTATACATATATAATAAATATATTTTTATTGCTTGGGCTCGCATTCTGAGACAACTTTGGTGCGTGCCGGCGTGTTTCACATCACCTAACAAATTATACGCGGTCCTCGGATAATCAAAATACCGGGCCAGTGGAGTCTTTAAATTATTGTACCCCGCAATTATGCAATGCACAGGTGTACCGTATTTATTTAGTGTTTAAGAGCCGGTCGTATACCGGCCAGACAAACGAAATTTATTTTCTTAAAAAAAAAAGAAACTTTTCAAGTTCATTAGAGGCTACATACTTACTACAATATCTTTGAATGCGATAAAAAATACAAGAACTGAAACCACCGATGATGACTACCAAACAATTGTAGATGTCTTACCACAAATCACAGTAAAAGAAGCCATCACAGAATATCGGACGCCTTCGCACCGAAAAGAAGAAAATAGGAAAAAAAACCAGGAGCCCGCACTATTATCACTATTACGAGGGGCTGTAATGATCAGGAATAGAATATTTCAGATTGAGTTACAATACAACCTTTTTTAGAATTTGAATACTGGCCTTTTAGAATCTTAATGACATTCGTTAGAATGTCATTAAGATTCTAACTGTTTAATTTAAAAAAAAATGTTTAAAAACAAAAACTATGTTGGTTTAAAGCTGACGCGTCGTTAACAAAAAGGAAGCTCACGCGTGAACATTTCCGTAAATCTCAGGTGACGAATCATGGATTTATTCATACGAACCTGATGGAAAACATCAGTCAGCAGTTTGGGTCTTCGAAGACGAGGTCAAACCAACGAAAGTGGTTCGCTCCCGCAACGTGTCAAAGAAAATGGTCGCTACGTTTGTCTCAAGAAAGGGGCATGTTGCTACAATTCCTTTACAGGAACGCAGAACGGTTACCGCTGAGTAGTATATCACG